AAAAGCTGAAAAAATTTAACAGCAGCAGGTTCATACTGTAGGAAATGTTGAAGGAAACCTATCAGGCAGATCATAGATGCAGATAAACACAAAGGAATGAGGGGCACCAGAAATAGTAACTATATGGCTACTGTAAAATACATTTTTCTTATTATCTAAGTCTCTTAAAAAAAAAAAAAAAAAAAAAAACTGGGACCCTAAGAACTAGTCCAAAAGTAGGCAGAAAAATAATGAAAAGGAAATAAAGTACAGATGGGACAAATAGAAAAACAAGCAGCATGATAGATAATGATCATATTAATTAATCACAATAATCATATTAAATGTAAATGATCTAAACACCCCAATTAAGGGGTAGACATTGCCAGATTGGATAAAAAGGCAGGACCAAACTCTATCCTGCCTACAAGAAACCCACTTCAAATATAAAGATTTCTATTCTTATTCTCAAGAGCTTAAAACAGCCTGTTGTATCAAAATCAATTTCCCCTCTCTAGGTATCAGCACCCTGTCAAATTAGGCTATCTCTGTTACTCCGTTAACATTTTCCTCAGTTAACAATTCCTGCCACACCCTGTACAGACTCATGCTTATGCATTACTCCTTGTGAAGAATTCTTCAGAATTCTCAGCTTCACTGTAACTCTTCATTTGTGTTCATTCAACACCAATTTTGACTGACGTGTTCCATGAGTCAAGCCCCATCATAATCAATAATTATGTCCTAGATCATGGAATATTAGAGCTCTCAGGAACAGTAAAGAATTTCCTATTCTCCTGATTTTGTAGATTAAAAAAAAACCGTGAGTCGTGCCCTGGCTGGTTTGGCTCAGCAGTTAGAGCATCAGCCTGCAGTCCAGAGAGACCTGGGTTTGGGTCTCGCTAAGGGCATGTACCTTGGTTACAGTTTGTCCTGGCCCTGGTTGGATCATGCAGGAGGTAGCCACTCGATGTGTCCCTTTCACATCGATGTTTCTTCCTCTTCCTTCCACTCTCTCTGAACACACACACAAAAAAAAAAATCCATGAGTCCATGGAGGTTACATGACCAGCCTAAGTTCATACAAGTTTAGTGGTAAATTTGTGGTAGGACCAAGGCATATCATTGTTTTCTCTCATTATCTGCCACCTACAATCAAGTACATTTCTTAGGTTATAATTGTAATGAATGTGCATGGTGTTAATAGTTGTGTACATATTTAATGTACCTGTCTTATGTGCCAAATTAGGCTGTAAGCTACCATTAAACAACTTTAATTAGTGTTCCACTGGTTAGAAAAATGCTGGATATATAGATGCACAGTGTATTATGATATTTGATTAATAAACTTAGAGTTAAATTGACAAGACCTCCAGAATTGTAAGAAAATAAATTTGTGTTGTTTTAAGCCACTAAGTTTGTGATAATTTGTGACAGCTGCAGTGTGAAACTAATATCGACAAATACTGATATTCAAATTCTACAGAGCTTTTATAAGCACTTTCTATATGACAAGCACAAAAATATCAGGTTCCTTTTTTTTTTTTAACTTCCTTCTATAAAGCTGTTGAAGAGCTAGATCAGTCATTGCTTTTCATTTCTGGTAGTCTCCTAAGTCAGTTAGGATACTCTCAGTTGCCAGTAAGTAATGGGAATTTATTGGCTCCAATAACTGAAAAGTGCAGTTTGGGCAGCCATCAGGGCTCTGGCAACATTTCTCAGGGAATCTTTGGCTGTGTTCTTTTCCAGTTGTCAGCACCATCACAGGATGGCTGCCAGAAATAGCTGCAGCTCTGTGCTCGGCTCTGGATTAAGGTGATCAGAAAGAATTTCATATATTGATTGGTTTAGGGCACTATAACTGGGGTTGGGGTCTATCTCACCCAAATTACTCAATAGGAGAAAGGGACATTACGATTCCCCTTGGAAAGTCTGGGTGCTATTAGGAAGGGAAAAGGATATTGATAAATAAGGACCCATTACAACCAACAACAAAAATTATAATAATACCTTAAAATAGTAAGAGTTTAAAATGTTATCAACTTATATAATGCTTCAATAATAAATTCTATTTTTTTATTTGTGTATATTATCATCAAAAGTTCTGAATGTCTGCTTTTTTTTTTTTTGTTTTTCGGTCTGTCATTCAAAGACATTTTAGAAAAATATTCTTCAGTCTTGGGAAAGGTGTCTTTCTCTTTTTTTGCCCCTCGGTGCTAATTATTACATAACAACAATTTGATGACCTACTTCCTGACCCATGAGGATTTCTTCCATCCAAGTATTAGATCCTCCGTCATTAAGGTCCTAATTGTAATGAACCAGACTCTTGCTTAAAAACTTTATGTATTGCCCTGGCTGGTTTGGCTCAGCAGTTAGAGTATTAGCCTATGGACCGAAGGGTTGCTGGTTCAATTCCTGGTTGAGGGCACATACCTGGGTTGTAGGTTCAATCCCCAGCCCCAGTCATGGTTGTGCAGCAGGTAACCAATCATTGTGTCTCTGCCACATTAATGTTTCTCTCTCCCTCCTTTTCTCCCTCCCACTCTATCTAAGAAGCAATGGAAAAATATCCTCAGGTGAGGATTAAAATAAATAAATAAAAACTTTCTATACTGCCAAGTTGTCTCATATAAATATGTTTTTCTTGTAACTGAGATACTTGATTACTGAAGCCAAATATGTTTTGGTATTCATGATATTAAGAGATTTATAGTGGACAGTCAAGTTTCTCAAACTGACTCTGTAAAAAAAATAAAATGAGCTCATTTTGTATACATAAAACCAAGTATAAAGGAGTATAATGATTATTTTTTGAGTAAAGTAGAAATTTTTAGAAAACAAATGTTTTTACTATCTTATACAGTAAGTCAGTATTAGATTTCAGTTATCTGACAAATTGATCCAGCAATAATTGGTAAATTTTAATTAACTTGAGACATAGAGGTAGGGTACAGACAGACAAACCTCAGAAGAGGGGGTTTTGGGGAAGAGATAAACCACAGAACTTGTGTGCATGCATGCATAACCAATGGGCATAGACAACAACGCTGGGGATGGGGTGGGAAGATGGTGTCAAGGGGAAAAGGAGAAACATCTGTAACAAAAACAAATTAATAAAAATAATTTAAAAAAAACTTTTTATGCCCTGGCCAGTTTGGCTCAGCGATTAGAGTTAACCGCAGACCTGAGAGACCCGGGTTCAGTTCCCACTAAGGCCATGTACCTTGGTTGCAGTTTCTCCCCGGCCCCGTTTGGGGTCGTGTGGGTGGCAGCCACTCGATGTGTCTCTCTCACATCGATGTTTCTCTTGCTTTCTTTCTCCCTCTCTCCCTCCCACTCTATCTGAAGATAAATGCAAAAATGTCCTCAGGTCAGGACAAAAAATAAAAATAAAAATAAATTTGTAATTAACTCGTATTGTTAGGAGTGTGACTAATTCTGAAAAGTGCTAAGGATCTTTAAAACATACCATTAGGTGAAATAGGACTGGAGGAATATATTATTTGTACATTTGTTATGTAATTTTTTAAATAGGTTTATGTAGTTTATTATGATTTGCCTTTAGCAAATAGTTTTGACTTTTTAAAAAATATGTTTTTATTGATTGTTAGAGAAGAAGGGAGAAAGAGAGAGAAAAACATCAATATGAGAGAAGCACTGATCGAACCCGCAGCCTGGGCGTGTACCCTGACCGGGAACCGAGCTGGCACCCTTTCAGCTCCTGGGACGGCACTCAGCGAGCCGAGCCACACTGGCCGGGCATGCTTTTCACTTTTAGACCGTGTAAATGACACACAGCTAAAGGAACTCTAGCTCTCTAAGATTTTTTGCTAATAGTTTAGAGAGACTATACTGTGGAATCACCCAGAAGCTCTGAAAAAATATTCAAAAAAACAACCAGAGATTTTTTATTCAGTTTCTCTGAGGTTGGGAGGTCAGTGGCTGAGGACATCATTCTTTGCCTCTCATCTAGGCAAATATTAAAAAATATTAGAAAGAATGTGATCATAAAAGAGGATAGCCTTTCATATTCTCTTGGTGGAGTTCAAATAAGTAGTTTTTTTATTTTTGTGTTTTTTTCTTTAAGGGTAAGTCAGCATTATCTATTGAAAGATAAAATGAGCATATGCTTTGAATCAGCAAGTCTAGTTCTAAATACCCTAGAAAAATAATTACACATTTAAAAACAAGTACATACTAAGATTTTTACTGAGGCATTGTTTGAAATCGCTAAAAACTAACATTCTTGCCCGGCCAGTGTGGTTCAGTGGTTGAGCGTTGACCCATGCACCAGGAGGTTGCCGATTTGATCCCCAGTTAGAGCACATGCCCAGGTTATGGGCCCAATCCCCAGTGGGGGGCATGCAGGAAGTGGCTGATCGGTGTTTCCTCTCATTGATGTGTCTGTCTCTCTTCCCTTCCTCTCTCTCTAAAAAATCAATAAAGAAAAAAAAAGTGTAAATGAAAACTAACATTCTCAATTCTTATCAATATAGGAATTAACCTTTTGGGTAGAGGTAGAGAATAAAGGCTCTTTTTTAAAAAAATCTATGTCTATAATTTTGCTGTGAAAAACAATTAGAAATGGTTTTAAACAATATTTTCCAGAAAAGTCATTAACTAGTTAATGTTTTCTACTAAGTAGCAGTTGTAAGGCATAGGTACTGTTGTTGTTGTTGTTGTTCTTCTTCTTCTTCTTCTTCTTCGTCCTCACCCGAGGATATTTTTGCATTGATTTTTAGCTAGAGTGAAAAGTAGGGAGGGGGGGAGAGAGAGAAACATCGATGTGAGAGAGATACATCGATTGGTTGCCTCCCACATGACCCCACCAGGACCGGGGATTGAAATTGCAACCCAGGTACATGCCCTTGATCAGGTATCAAACTCTCGACCCTTTGGTCCTCAGCCAACGCTCTAACAGCTAAGCCAAACTGGTCAGGGTGGCATAGGTACTTTTAATCAAACAATAACATTTGGAATGTTATTCTGTAATGTTTTATGTCTACTTTTTTTTGCAGAATGGAAACAGACTGTAACCCCATGGAGCTAAGCAGTATGTCAGGATTTGAAGAAAATGCAGAGATTAACGGCTTTGAAGGAACTGATATGAAAGACATGAAGCTAGAAGCTGAAGCAGTTGTAAATGACGTTCTCTTTGCTGTTAACAATATGTTTGTCTCAAAAACCCTGCGCTGTGCAGATGATGTGGCCTATATCAATGTGGAAACTAGAGAAAGGAACAGATACTGCCTGGAGCTCACTGAAGCAGGGCTGAAGGTAAGTGCCTTTTCTCTTTTGAAAAAGGAAATTATTTATATCTTTATCACTTTATCAAAGAGGGGTCAGGGAATGTGAACGAGTGTTAAATGAGAACACTATGTAGCTTTCAAGATTTTTTTAAGGAAAACTTTTATCTAGGAATTTTTTATAATGCTCAAATCTTTCATCAACATGGGAAAATGGAAATTTTTTAAAATTTGATTGTCAGTGTTACTTTGTTTTAATTATCACCCCCAAAATCAACTTATTTCTTATCTATAGCTAAATATGTCCACCAGAATTATGCATTCCCTGCATTGGCCGAGCTCTGCAGTCGTTGTATTGAGAGGACTTTTTTCCACTCTTATAAATATCTCTTCTATTAAAACAGCGTGCTTGCTCCACTGCTCCCTAGCTCTCCGATCCAGCCGAGTCACAGCACACAGTTGCGCCTCCAAATTTCCAAGAGTGTCCTAGTGGCTCTTTATTACATGGGAGCTTTTCTAGGCAGTGACCTCCTTACATCCTTTAAACCAGAATCCTGAGTTTAGAATAGTGGAAAGTACCACCTGAAACCAACTTTTCATTAAAAAGGGAAAAAAACTTACTGTTATAAAAGAAATAATCATTAGAAACTCCAAAATTTGGTTTTAACTTTACTAATTAATTTTCTATCTTAGTCAAAGATCTCTGACTTTTCTGTTTCTATGTAAGTTAAGAGTGATCCCCATAAGTTGCACAGAATCAATCATAAGGTGGAGGCCAAGGCCTTAGCAAATAAGAATGTTATATAATAATATGTTCAAAGGCTAAATGAACATTTCTTTATTTTGCTAGATTCAGTTTCCTTAAGATGTATATGAATCATATGTTGTGTATGTTCCTTGTTAGAGAGAGGATCACTTACCTCAAAGCAGACTGCACAGCCAGCAGCCGCATTATGCTCAGTCTCCTCTCAGCTGCTAGCTTAGAAAGCAATCCCTGAATTAACTAATTCTTGTACACTCCTTTCTAAATTCCTGAATTTGAACTAAAAGCTTGTAGTCTTTACAAATGGATCTTAAATAGAAATAGGCAAATCAAAAGTAGAGATAAATGAACCTGGATAAATTAATTCTATTCTACTTTGGTTAATTCTAAGGTAGCTGTGGTTCTCATCAGAGTCAGAATTTGAATGATCTTGGCTAAGTCAGTCAACCTTTCTGAGTCTGATTAAAAATCTAAAAGGGATTGGAGGATGATTATATGAATATAGAATAAAGAAATATCAGATCATGTAGGTACTTAAATATTTTTTCAGTCTGATTCACTTGATATTCATTGAGCAACCATTCTGTGTCAGGAATTAGAAATGAGACTATATGAGTAAGACGTGATCCCTCTCCAGTAGGAAGACCAGTCTCACAGAGATAAGAAAAGGGCAAACAGAACTGTCATACAGTGGCCCCTCCCCATCTGCAGTTTCAGTTACCTGTGGTCAACCACGGTCTGAAAATATTAAATGGAAAATACCAGAAATAAGCAATTTATACAGGGGTGGGCAAAAGTAGGTTAAATTACCAGCCATCATTACCTAAAAGATAAATCATAAGGGTACAAAATAATAACTATAAAAAGAATAAAAAAAACAAATAATACAATAATTAATAATACAAGAATAAACTGTTTCATGAACTCATAACTGTAAACCTACTTTTGCCCACCCCTCTACGTGTCAAGTTGCATGCCTTTCTGAGTAGTGTGATGGAATCTCGTGCCATCTTGCTTTACATTGCCCAGGACATCCCTTTGTCCGGCATATTCATACTATATTCACTGCCCATTCGTTAGTCACGTGGTAGCTGTCTCAGGCCTCAGATCCATTATCAGAGAGAGAGACCATGTTTACAGAACTTTTACTACAGTATATTGTTATTATTGTTCTATTTTATCATTACTTAATCTCTTACTGTGCCTAATTTATAAATTAAAATTTATCATAGGTATGTGTGTATAGGGAAAAACAGTACAGGTAGGGCTTGGTCCTCTCTGTGGTTTCAGGCATCGGCTGGGGAGACTTGGGACATAGCCCCGCGGGGAAGGGGCTGCATACGCCGAGGGAAGTGCAGCCGTGAAGCGTGGTTCTGAAGGGTGGGAGCCATCGTCCTGGCGGTCTGCCTCTGCTCTCATTAGAACAACACCGCCACTTCTGTTCCTAACATAAACTTGCATCTTCTGAGTGGCTTGAATAGATGTCATAAAAAGTTAGCATTTATAGAGGCAATTTACAAGCTTTAGTCAGGTCAATAAAACTAAAGTAATTTTGGCCTATACTGTGCTGGTGAACTGTGGTATATCTTATAATCTTGGTGGAGAGAAAAGCTTTAGGTATGTTTAAGGAAAAAAAATAACATTCCCTTTTATCTCACCGAGTTTTGAGTTTGTTTCCCTGTTAGATAAGTGATGTATTAGTAATGTGAAATGGCCTTTCAGATAACTAGTTATAAAGGAGGATTAAAGCTATAAACATTTTCTAGAATTCTTTTTTTTTTAATAGATTTTTTTCTTTATTGATTTTAGAGAGAGAGGGAGAGAGAGATAGAAACATCGATGAGAGAGAACATTGATTGGCCGCCTCCTACATGCTCCCCAGTAGGAATCGGGCCCACAACCTGGGCATGTGCCCTGACCGGGAATCAAACTAGTCGACACTCAACCAGTGAGTCACACCAGCCGGGCCTTTCTAGAATTATTTATAAAAAGAGTCCAAACACTCCTGGCCAGTGTGGCTCAGCAGTAGTGATAAAAATGTAAACCAATAATATTTATTACAGTGACTTTATGTAGCAGACTGTCAATATATGTGGAATTAAATTGAAGCATGTTTTAGATTATAAAAGTAAAACAATGTTTTTAGTGGCTTTTTAAATTTTTTCTCTATTTTTACATTTGTTTTAGGACCAGAAATAAGTAAATCAAACCATTAAAATTTTAAGAAAAAAATTATAAAGAGAGCGTTTTGAATAGGTTAGCCCTGGCCGGTTTGGCCCAGTGGTTAGAGCATCGGCCTGCGGTCCTGAGAGACCCAGGTTCGGTTCCCGCTAAGGGCGCGTACCTCGGTTGCAGTTTGTCCCCGGCTCTGGTCAGTCGTGCGGGTGGCAGCCACTCGATGTGTTCCTTTCACGTCGATGTTTCTCTCTCTCTCTCTCTCTCTTCCTCACTCTACCTGAACAAAAAATGGAAAAATGTCCTCGGGTGAGGATAAAAAAAAAAAATCTTAGAAATCTATAAGTTATAAATTGCTAAAATATTAAAGATTGTATTAAAATATGCATCTTTTAACAGTTGATTGAAAAAGTGTCATTAGAGAATGTAAACAATTGGTTTTTGCTGTCTGTACCAAGATGAAATCTAATTATTGAATTCAATGTTCTCTTACAGATAGTAGGTTATGCTTTTGACCAGGTGGATGATCATTTACAGACTCCCTACCATGAAACAGTCTACTCCCTGTTGGATACGCTCAGCCCTGCCTACCGGGATGCCTTTGGAAACGCACTCCTTCAAAGACTGGAAGCTTTGAAAAGGGATGGACAGTCATGACTAAGCTTTTTCCTTTTAGAGGGGGCAGCTGCTAGGACAAAATGTTGACATAAAGCTTGAAATTCTTGCATATGGTCACAGTAGAAAATGCATCTTTGGTTTTATGTCTTTATGGTTTCTTGCTTCAAATTTGGCTTTTGACTCACAACATTAGTGACTAATGATTGTCTTTTTTGAGTCTGATTCATTAAGGGAATCCTGAGGCCATTGCTATGATACCATCATTAAGACCTTCAGATTTCTTCATATAGTATCTCTGCATTTCAAAACCAAATCAGTATTTCATTTGTTATTCCAGGGCTTTGATGCTGCCAGCACTCTCTCTTACACGGGAAATTCTGGATTTGCACAGTAATATAGGATTTAAAATGACCTAAATGCAAACTTTGATTCAGCTTGCTAAATCAGGGGTTTACTACTAGCTTGGACTAACTTTGTATTAATTATTTTAGTACTAGCCTTACTGGAAACAAATTATCAACCAGTTTCCCCTGCACAAATTTTGAAATTCACTGATTCACTTAATCTATTTATATTACTGATATGGATTGATAAAGATGAATTAATTATATATTACTTAGCTAGTATTAAATGAACAACAGGGGCTGAAATAGTTCTGTATTCCTTGTTTGCAACAGCCAGCCAACTAAGAGGACAAACCGTGAGCAAATGAATGTAATAATTACTTTTTTCAAGGTATTTAAGCACATAAGCAAATATAGGAACGGACTCCATTCTTAACAAAAAGCATCTTCAATGTGTGGGATTTAAAAGAAGATTCTGATTTCCTAAAAAACAATATTTTGGCCTGTGTTGATTCTTATGAATGTTTGTTTACATGATGTACAGTATATATTCAGAAAGTATTTTTGCTTCAACGTTTACTTTCTATAATGTAGTACTTTGGTATTCCCGCAGCGCCCCTCCTTCCCCAACAGATGTACAGTGTTCCGTCTCGATGCTAAATCCACAATGTAACACGAGTGCATTGTATGGGTTTGAAAACCAAAGGATGAAGGAAGCATTCCGAGACTTAATATTTAAAAAGGGGAGAATCTGTATTTTATATTTTATTACAGGTACTAATATTTATAAACTTCATAAACTATACCATGCTGCTACGTGTTTTCAGGAACATGTTGAATAGCAAGGATTGGGGAAGTCGTCTTTTTTTAAATAATAGTCGAAAGCAGCAGCTGTTAGAAATGTCGAACTAAAATTCTGCATTTGGACACTCCAGAAATTTATCGTTTGCAGGCTTTTTATTTTTAATCATTATCAAGTAATAGGTACTTTTAGGCTCTGAAGAGTATATAGACCAGAGCAAATTAGTTTGGTTCTGGTCACTATTTATTGTCAAACTTCATAGGAATGCTTTCATTATGGTTTATAATGCATATTCATTCTCAGCTTTATTTTCAGATGCTTAACTGTTTGGGCAGTGAAGTCTAACTTCAGGTTGAACTTTCTCATGCTAATCTCAGGCTAACTGTAAAGGACTTTGTAAAGTTTGAATAAAATTCTGTTTATTCATTTTGAGTTAAGTATGCAGAAAAAGTGACTGTGTTTGAAAATTAAAATTGTTCATTTTATGATAAATGATTGATTCCAAGAGCTTCTGTTTCCCTTTTTTAATTCAGTATTGTTACATTTTAATGTGAGGTGAGTTGCTCTTCTTTTACTATGAAAGAGGAATACAAAGAGAAGACTTAGTAAAATACTGATATAAAAACCTCCACTATAAATTAAAACCTCAACTTTACCTAAATTGTTTAAAATTTTTATGCAGATAAATTAAGCCTTGATTACACCTCTAAAGGAAAAATAGCTCTAAATAAATAACTCTTACAAATCAACTAAAAAAAAAAATGAGAATGGGCAAATTATATCAAACAACTCAGAAAAAAAAAAAATACAGATGTCCCGTAACCATTTGAAATATATTCTTCCTGACCAGTAATTCAAGAAAGATAAGCCCTGCCGGTTGTGGCTCAGGGGTTGGAGCATTGGCCCTTGAACCAAATGGGGGGGGAGGGGAGGAAGGAGGGTTCAATTCCCAGTTAGATCCCCAGCCTGGTGCTTGGGGGAGGCAACCAATCCATGTGTCTCTCTCACATCAGTGTTTCTCCTTCTCTTTCTCCCCACCCCCGTTCTTCCCTCCCTCCCATTTCTTGATAAAAAATCAGTAGAAAAAAGTATCCTCGGATGAGGATTAACAAAAAAGGGAGGGGGGGGATAGGTTTATCTATGTTAGGCCATTTCACCTAATAATTGAATAATTTCTCTTATTTAAATATAATGATACCAGTAAGGATTTAGTGACAGGGCACTCATATCTCTTGGAGGATATACTGGTGAATCCTTTCTGGAAAACATTGATAATAGAGCCTTTACAAAGCTTACAACTTCTGTACTGGTAATATCCTAGCAATCTAGCATGGCGGATGGTTTCGGCAGAGATATACCACGAGGATGTTCATTTTCTCTAATGAAAAATTGGAATGGCTTTAAAAGTGATTAAGTTATGCTACATTCTCTTGATGAAAAAATATGCAGCCATTAAAAATCATGAAAAAAAAGGCAATTGGGAAAAATTAAACTACATGAAAAAATAAAACTAATCTATTTTGGAAAATACTCTTCTATGTAATAGGAAAATTAAATAAAATATTCTACATGTTCATAGTCCTCACTGGGTGGTATGATAGGTAATTTTCGTTTTCTATATTTTTTTCACATTTTCTACATTTGCTTATGTATACCAATTGAAGGGGAAATAGATATGAGGTTCAAGCGAGCTGAAGAACCTTTCTCTCTAGCAAAAGCACAAAGCTGTGCTCACTTGTGTCCATACCCAGGATCCTTGAGGAGACAGTATGATTATGAAAACAGTGCACACCTCATTCCCATGGGGACCCTGTTCCCACCATTCCTCCAGGTCCAGAATCTACTGTTACACTTCCAACACAGCAAATCTGGGTGTGGGGGCAGATCATGATCTGCTCCTATGGCAGTGCAACATTCTCTCCAGTGTTCAAAACCACATGTGTTGATTGTCAAGGGAGAACAGGTTAGAAAACCACAGAGTCTATGTGACACATTGACTGCAGAACTCTGCCTCAACCCCTTTATTTTGTGATGACATAGCTGAGACTTGGATAGATTGAGGGGCTTGCTCAGCAGCCCACCTGTGAGCAGTAGAGTGGGGCAGAACTGGGGTCTTCTGACCACCAGCTTACCCCACCTAGTGCTCATTAATAAACGCATCTCCTGAACTCTGGTTATATGAAAGCTGATTTTGAAAGAGGGAAGGAAGAACAGTAAAAAGATGTGTTAATTGATGTAATAGAAGTAACAATCTCCTTTCCTAACCTAAAAATTCTCTGAAAGCCATCCCCTTATAACTATGGCACTAGCACATTTACCTGTTATCAGTAGAGCCAACTATAAGAATGAAACGAAGTTGAGATATAGTAGCATTACGGTTGATAACTTTCAAAGTACCTGTTTAATTTCCTATCAATAGGGACAAACTAAAAATCTGGAAATAAGGCATCAAGTGAATTATAGAATATTTTTCTAACAAGTTTGAACGAACGCTGAAAAATAGTCCAAGCTTTGCACTGGTCTTGCATGAAAATTTTTACATTTAAATCGACAGCACTTTATTGTTGATCATTTTTTTTAAAATAATGTTGCAATGAGCAAGCTTTTCCCAAAATTGAGTGTAAAATTACAATGTTAATTTATCAAAACAGAAGTTTTAATGAAACCTGTATATTAAAAAAAAAAAATGTGGGTGGAGACAAAAAAAAAAAAAAAAAGGCTCCCATTTGCAGCAGTGTGCCTTAGGCTTACAGAATAAAAAGCAATTTCACCTTTGGAGACCACTTCAGAAAGTGCTTTCATGCATGTCTTATTTAATCCTAACAGCCCTGCAGGCTGATGGTTTCACTCCTGTTTTACAGCCAATTTAACAGCTTGGGAAAGGTTAAAAAATGGGTCCCAGCCTCCAACAAAAGGCGGCAGAGCTGTAACGGCCAAGTCTAAGAGCCTGACAGCCCAGAGCCTCCAAGTCTTCTGGAGCTTCCTGGACACCTCCAATTTTTGAGGCGATCAGTATTTTTAAACATTTAAATTGCTGCATGTGTTAAATATTTACATTTAGCACGTTAATGTTTAAAGCACAAAAATATTTCGATAGACTCAGGCTATTCCAAGATAACGAATGGCAAGATGTAGTCATCAGTTGACTGTCATCTTTTCATTTGTCAGTATATCTCGGCAACTGCATGTACAACCTTATTTGGAAAGATAAAAATCTAATTGTCATCGCTGTGTGAATGGGGGTGATTGAATCCCCTGCACAGTGGCCTTCAGCGGCCTCCACCCCACCCCACCCCCAGAGGTCATTCGCAACTGTTAGGAAATGACCCTTAAACCAGCTGAGCCCCATGGGCCAGCAGCAGTGGCTGCCGGTTTAGGACCACCCATGCTGCCGTTTGGGAGTCCAGGACCTGAAATTCCAAGGCAACAGCTCTTCTTTGCACTAGATGATTATGCCACGTCCTCCTGGTCAGACCATTGCACATTAACTCCAACATTTCAGGGGAGGCCTAGGCTGCAGTTTTACCTTCTCATCAGATTCAATAATTTTAGGCCTCCCTGTCAAATGGACTCCAGGACGTGTTTCCAGAGTTTCCGAATGAAAGAGAAGAAAAGGAACGGAAGACGCGCCCTGCCCGAGGGCACACGGCGTGTAGTAGGGCAGAGTGGGGTCCGGGCTGCATGCACAGGGCAAGGCAGAGGCGAGAACAGGCACAAGCACGCCAACCTGGCTCCCAATGCGGAACCGAGCCCAACCGGCACGGAAAACCAGGAGCCCCTCCCCCACCCCAGGAACGCCCCGCCCAGCGCCCTAGGCCCCGCCCCCTGAGAGCTGGCCGGGGCCCAGCAATCCCTAGGCGGTGACCCCGCCGCCGTGGCAACCACAGGCACGCTTTCTCCCTAGCAACCAGCGAGGATCCCACCATGGCTGAAGAAGAAGTCGCTGCCCGGACGGAGAAAGTTATCCGGATCCAGAGGGTGTTTATAAACCTGCTGGACTCATACAGCAGCGGAAACATCGGGAAGGTGAGCGTCCGTGGCTCAGAGCAGGACCCTAGCCCCCCGCCCCCCTTCCACCGCCCCAGGTCCCCGAACCCAGAGAGGTGCCTGTGCCACGGGGTGCTGTTTGGGCCTCTCCTAAGGGAGGGGTCCATCGTCCTGGGCACGGCCAATACCCCCAGCACCCCAGTCCGAATCCAGGCTAGACAACCGCCCCACCTGGAAGTCCTCTTCCGCACCCCTGCCTGAGATCGCCCGTCCAGCCCTGGGTCCTCCGCTGTTAATGAGGCAGAACTTGGAAATAGAGCCCAGGTCTCTGACCTCCTAACTGGGTTCTGTTTTCGCCCCACCACAGCACCTGAAGCAAGCAACTGATAAGAATATAAGTACAAATTAGTCAATGGGGATGTAAAGAACAGCATAGAGAATATAATCAATAACACTTTAATAACTATCTATGGAGCCGAGTGGGTACTGGAAATATCAGGGGAACACTTTGTAAAGTGTCTGATTGTCTAACCACCATGCTGTACACGTAAAACTAATACAAAATGATTTTGAATGTAAACTGTAACTGAAAAATAAAAATTTAAAAATTAGTCCAATGGTTATATCACCCACAAAGCGTTGTTCGTTCAGCCATCCCTTCAACATACAGCTTGAGCATACGCAATGTGCCCGACAGTTTCGGGTTCTGGGTCCCACTGAGCTTTTTCCCCCTTCACCAGCTTCACCTCTGGGAAAATGGAGATATTCGGAAAGAGGACCCTGGGGCCCCTCATCTTAAAATGTTCAGTCGTAAAAAGAAAGCCATGATTTTATCATTTCCCTGAGGAGGACTTACTGATTTTCTAAGACTGTGGTAACAAGCTGGGTGGCTTAAAACAACGGAATTTATGCTCTCCCAGTTCTGAAGTCCAGAAATTGAAAATAAAAGTGTCAGCAAGGTTGGTTCCTGCTGGAGGCCTGAGGGGAAGATCGGTTCCTGGCTTCTCTCTCGGCTTCTGGTGGCTGCAGTCCTCGCCACCCCTTGGCTTAGAGAATCATCACCCCAAACTCTGCCTTCTTCACATGGTGATGTCTCCCCCCTGAGTGCCCTCTTCTTATAAGGACACAAGTCATTGCATTAGAGGCCACCCTCATCTGGTGGAACTTCATTTAACCTGATTACGTCTGCAAAGACCCTATTTCCAAATATGGTGAGATTCACACTTTCCAGGTGGACAGGAATTGGGGCGGAGGGGCACTGGTCAACCCAGTGTCTCATCTAGAGTTGATCAGGGGACTTCTCTTCCTGGCACTGGAACCCTGAGCTTGGGGCTGGTGTGGGAAGGGGACCCCTCACTTCTCAGGGAGGACCTTCCCAGCCGAGGTGTCCTACTGATTTTTATCCGCCACACGTGGGTGTGGGCCCAGCCCGTCTGCCTCCGCCCCTCCTACCAGTCTGGATGTGGCTGCTTCTTTAATTCCGTAGTTGTAGGACTTCCATTCAGCTCGATGTCAGGTGGTTCTGAATGATGCTTATTCTGTAGTTTAGTTGTAGTTTTGATGTGGTTGTGGGAGGAGACGAGGACCGCGTTTGCCTGTGCTGCCATGTTGACCACAAGTCCAAAAATAATATTTATTTATTTTCAATTTTTATTAATTTATTTTTGTTACAGATGTTTCTTCTTTTCCCCCCTAGACACCCTCCTCCCCATCCCACCCCCCCAGTATTGTTGTCTATGTCCATTGGTTACGCATACATGTGTATAAGTTATTTGGTTCATCTCATCCATCCCCCGCCCGAGGTCTGTCAATCTGAACCCTACTCCTTTCTATGTCTCTGGGTTTATTTTGTCCATCAACTTATTTTGTTCATTAGATTCCACAAATAAGTGAGATCGTGTGGTATTTGTCTTTCTCTGATTGGCTTATTTCACTTAGCATAATGCTGTCCACCAAAATAGTATATTTTTATACAGCATGTCATCATCTATGATAAATAATATATGCGATAGCTTATGTATTATATAGAACAGATATCTACTAGAAGAGACTAAGACCACATGACCAGAAAAGGGGGGAAAGAAGAGACAAGGACAAACAAAACGATGCAATAACAAATAATTTTCAAAGAAAGGAAGGATTAAAAAGATAGGTGTAGTATGAACTTTTTTGTGTCTTTCAGAAAGATGGTAATAGATATAGAAAAGATAGATAATCTATACACAGAAAATGTCTCAAAGGACACTCAACAAACTTCACTAGCATCCCTTCTGTCAGATGGGATTGTCCATGAGCCCCGGCACGAGGGCAGGCACAGAGAACAGAGAACTGCACGCGGAATAAGACCAAAAATGGTGGCTGCCCTCGAGGACCCTGCCTCTCCCAGAAGACAGACAATCACTAATTTTTAGAATAAACAAGACATTTTTTTCTTTTTAAATTTTTTTTATTAATTTTTGTTCCAGATGTTTCTCCTTTTTCCCCCATTGAAACCCTCCTCCCCATCCCACACACACACACACATACACACACACATTGTTGTCTATGTCCATGGTTACGCATACATGCATATAAGTTCTTTGGTTTCTCTCATCCCTCCCCTCAGCCTCCCTCCTCTGAGGTTTGTCAGTCTGAACCGTACTCCTTTCTATGTCTCTGGGTCTGTTTTGTTCATCAGCTTTTTTTGGTTCATTATATTTCACAAATAAGTGAGCTCATGTGATCTTTGTCTTTGACTGGCTTGTTTCGCTTAGTCTAATACTCTCCGGGTCCCTCCCTGTCATCTCAGAGGATAAGAGATCTTTCTTTCTTACAGCTGCATAGTACTCCATTGTGTACATGTATCACAGCTTTGTTATGCATTCGTCTACTGATGGGCACTTGTGCTGTCTCCAGATCTTAGCCATAAACACGACATTTCAGGGTGTGGTAAGTACACACCCCAGGGCAAGAGGCCGTGGAATGTTGAGTGGTGGCGAGAGCAGCTGCTTCACAGAGTGGCATCAAAGGCTCTTTCAGGCCCTGGCCGGTTTGGCTCAGCGGTTAGAGCGTCGGCCTGCGGTCCTGAGAGACCCGGGATCGGTTCCCGCTAAGGGCACGTACCTCGGTTGCAGTGTGTCCCCGGCCCTGGTTGGTTGTGTGGGTGGCAGCCACTCGATGTGTCCCTTTCACATCGATGTTTCTCTCTCTCTCTCTCTGTTCCTCTCTCTCCCTCCCACTCTACCTGAACAAAAAATGGAAAAATGTCCTCGGGTGAGGATAAAAAAAAAAAAGGCTCTTTCACCTGGCACGGGGTGAGGACCAGGCCTGGGGGACTAGTTCTCAGGGGTCACTACAAGGGCAAAGTTTCCAGAGTGGGAGTCAGCTTGGCATTATCAGAGGACGAGATGGGGGCAGTGGCCCCGGAGCTCCAGCGTTGACTTCATTGGTGCAGCCGGTAGCGCTCCACGCCCTCGAGACTTTGGGGTCCACTGAAGTGTTTCAGTTTCTTTGGAAAAAAGAAGGAAGCAACTACCATTTGAGGGTCAAAGATTGTGTTTGTCATCGTAGCAATACACATGTAAAATACCCTGCTTCCTGTTTTTCACTAGAGGAAAGGGCCTGTGAAGGTCAGAACGTGGCCCCGCTCAGCAACTGAACAATGCCCCACAGGCGGTCAGCTCTCCACCGATGTGTGTTGCGCAAATTAATGAAGGCGCACAAAGGCCCAGGTCATGCAGGGTCAGGAGCTTGGCTTCTATTCTCAGGGAAGAGAATCTAACTTTTTACTTTATCTCCTTTTGATCTCTGATTATTTTTTAACTGCAAGATAAGAGAAATTCCCCCAGTACCAAGAACAGCTAGGAGTAAGCGCAGTCAACTTGGAGAAGGTAAACCTACAGCCTTGGCCTCCCCTGAAATGTTGGCGTTAAGGTGCAGTGGTCTGACCAGGAGGACATGGCATAATCCTCTAGTGCACAGAAGAGCTGTTGCCTTGAGATTTCAGGTCCTGGACACCCAAACGGCAACGTGTGTGGTCCTCACCAGGAAAATTTCCCTTGTCTTGCAGTTTCTATCTAATTGCGTGGTGGGAGCGTCACTGGAAGAAATCACAGAGGAAGAGGAAGAGGAAGATGAAAGCAAATCAGCTATGCTGGATGCCTCCTCCTCCAGACTGAAGGAAGGCACCTTCCAGATTGTGGGCACGCTGTCCACCGGGAAGCCTGAGCCTGGCTTTGCCCTGGAGACATACTCTGTAAGTCCTGCTGCCTCCACCTCCAAGCCCTCTGTCCTTACCCTCTGCTTCTCATTCCCTGTCGTCTGCAAATGTGTGGGGCCCAGGATGGTGAGGGACAAGATGTGGGCCCATCTCTGTCCTTGAAAGGAAATCACCCACCGCCCTGGCCGGTCTGGCTCAGCAGTAGAGCGTCAGCCCATGGACCAATGAGCCTCGGGTTTGATTCTGGTCAAGGGCATGTGCCTCGGTTGCAGTCCGCTCGGGCCCGGGTCAGGATCGTGTGGAAGGCAACCAGTCAATGTGTCCCTCTCACGTTGATGTTTCTCTCTCTCTCTCTCTCTCTCTCTCTCTCTCTCTCCCTCCCTCCTGCCCTTTGTGAATATAAATGCACAAATGTCCACAAATGCACAAAAGGTGAGGATAAAAAAAAAAGAAAAAGAAAAAGAAATTAATCAGCATTGTCACTACTTTAAAGAATTTAAATTAGATATTCTTGTAAAGTATAAATCTAATTTGGACTTTCAGACTCCTAAAATTCTCTCTATATACTGTATTTAAAATGTATTCTGCCCCTGGCTCAGTGGTTAGAGTGTCGGCTCAGGGACCAAATGGTTGTGGTTTGATACTGGTCAAGAGCATGTACCTGGGTTACAGGTTTGCTCCCCAGGTCAGGGTTGTGTGAGAGGCAACCAATCGATGTGTCTCTCTCCCATTGATGTTTCTCTCTCTCTCCCTCCCTTCCTTCCACTCTATCTAAAATTAATTAAATAAATAAATAAATAAATAAATAAATAAATAAATAAATACGATGTATTCTGCCCTGCCTTACCCAACACAACCCTGTGCCATGCTGGGTGCTGCCTGTGAAAGGGAAATCTCCTTCAGTACTAGGCCACTCGGGAATAACATGCCACTATACTGCTGTCTTACTGAGAAACACTGCTGCCTCTGCATGGCGAATTCTACAGTCCTTGTCCTGAGACATTCCAGTACCTCCAAGAAGGGTGTCCCTCCTACGCTAACTCCTCCCATCACGCTGCCTGATACTCTCCAGAACCTACCACACAGCTTTGCACATGCTGTACCCTGGAACAGCCTTTCCTCTTCCCTCCCCCAGCCAGCCCTATTCATCCTTCCAGGTTTAACGCAGGTTGCCATCTCCTGCAGGAAGCCCTCCACGATTTTCACTTCTTCCCCACTCCCAGTTTGAATTCTGAGCCCTTGCCCTGGCGGGTTTGGCTCAGCGGTGAATTCTGAGCCCTTTTCTTCTACAACCTTAGCATTCTTTACCTGCATAGGTCATAATACTTTCACACTTCATTGCTATCTATCAATTATGGGTCTCACTGACTATAAGTATCAGCTCCTTTAGGCTAGAGACTATGCCTCATTTATTCTCCTGCTTTCTGTACATCTTGAGCACCTAGCGCAGCCACTGACAGAAAGGGGTCCTCAATAAATATTTGTGAAACACCCAATCAGAACAGCAAAAAGGAAAAAGAATCCAAAAACATGAGGATGGTGTAAGGAGCCTCTGGGACAACTTCAAGCATACCAGCATTTGCATCTTAGGTGCCAGAAGGAAAAGAGAGAGAACAAGAAATCGAAAATCTATTTGAAACAATAATGGCAGAAAACTTCCCTAACTTGGTGAAGGAAACAAACATTCAAGTCCAGGAAGCACAGAGAGTCCCAAACAAGATGAACCCCAAGAGGCCCACACCAACACACATCATCATCAAAATACAAAAGGTGCAAGACAAAGAGAGAATCTTAAAAGCAACAAGAGAAAAGCAGTTAGTTCCTACAAGGGAGTTCCCATAAGACTGTCAGCTGATTTCTCGAAAGAAACTTCGCAGGCCAGAAGGGAGTGGCAAGAAATATTCAGAGTGGTGAAAAGCAAGAACCTACAACCAAGATTACTCTATCCTGCAAAGCTGTCATTTAGAATCGATGGCCTATAAAGAGTTTCCCAGACAAGAAAAAGTTAAAGGAGTTCATCACCACCAAACCGTTATTATATGAAATGATGAAGGGTCTTTTTGAAGAAAAAGATAAAAAATGTGAACAAACAAAATGGCAATGAATACATATCTATCGACAATGGAATCTACAAATAAAATGAACAAGCAGAACAGAAACATTCTCATAGATGCAGAGAACATTTTGTTGGTTGCCAGATGGGAGTGGGGTTGGGGGAATGGGTGAAGGGATTAAGAAGTACAAATTGGTTGTTAGACTGACAAACCTCAAAGGGAAGGGGAGGCAGGGGTGAGAGGAGATAAGCCAAAGATACATACGCATATATGCATATACACATAACCAATGGACACAGACAACAGTGTGGGGAAAGGCAGGAGGGGGGTGGGAATGGGAGGAGGGGGTCAATAGGGGGAAAAGGAGGAACATCTGTAATACATTCAACAATAAAGATAAGTTTAAAAAAAAAATCAATGAAATAAATAAATAAATAAATAAATAAATAAATAAATATTTGTGGAATGAGTGAGTCTCCCCCTACCGTCTTTGGGAACTGTCTTCCCCGCTCACCCTTTCACACTTTGCTGGGTCTTCGCTCACCACTGGCTTGTCTCTTTCCACCTATACATATGCTCAAGTCTTTCCCGCTGTAAGAAACACTTAATGTGTCCTCCTTTGTGTCTACCTGCCTCTTTCTCCGCCCCTGCCGCTGCCACCACTGAACTTCAGAGAGGGCCCGGCCACATCCACAGGCCTCACTCTGGCACTCCCGAGTCCCTGTCTGTCCAGTGCCAGCAGGCTCTGTCCCCACCACTTTGTAGGAATTGCCCTGGCCAGCATCACTGTGAGCCCCTAGGTCCCACGGGCCTATTGTAGCTGGTTTCCCAGGAGAAAATCTCCTTCCTCCTTCTGCAGCCCTTAACCCTGACCCCCCTTAAGCATCTGAGTGCTCTTACTTGTTCCTTCACTGGATCCTTTCCCACCTTTAATGCAGCTCTGCCCAGAGCTCCCTCCTTTCTCATAAACGGCGTCCTTCCTAAACCTTACACAGTCCTATGGCTGCAGCTGCCCCATACAAGCCAGTGCCTCCCGTCCTGCTGACCCACAAATCCAACGGCCTCCTAGCTCACTCCCCTGGATCTCCTGCAGGCACTTCTGAATCAATCTACCCCAAATTAAACATGTTATGCTCCCCTACAAATCCACTCTGTTCTTTGTACTCCTAATTTTTATTAAGGACTTTGCTGTCTATATCAGTTTGGGCTGTTTGGGACTGCAGGTAATGGGGAAAGGGGCAATGCAAACCAGCCTAATAAGTAAGAAAATTCATCAGCTTGTGTGGCTGGTGGTCTCAAGAAAGAACCAGCTTCAGGGCTGGCATGATCCAGGGGCTACAGCTCTTTTTCTTCCCCTTTCTGGGCTCTGCCTTCCTCTAGAATGACTTCATGCTCGGGCTATCGGCAAGGGTTCAACAGTCCAGAGCCTTAATTCATACACAGCAACACCTGATGAAGAGAACTTCCAGAAGGTCTCGGAGAAAGGAGGAGGAACATCCCAGCAGCCCTCCACAAGCATCTCCTTTAATTTCACTGTCTTGAATCGAGGTGCATGTCCATTCCTGAACCCGTCACCTACCCTGAGATCAACAAGGCCCATCCCTTAAGCTAGAGGATGAAGCTAGTGTCCACAGGCTGAGAAGGGGCATATATGAACAAAATTGGGGTCCTGCTGGAAAAGAGAAAGAGGAAATGGATGTTTGTAGACAACTAACAGCAACCTGTGTACCATTTATCACGCGCGTGCCCCCACCAGAGCTGAATCCCTGTGGGCTCTTGGCTCCTCCTGCCTCCAAGACCTTCTTGGTCATGGAGTCCTCAAGCCCATCTCTTTGCCAGCTCTCCTTTCCACAGGCCTTCAGCCTTAGATCAGAGCCCCGTCATCTCTCACCATTTGCACCCACATCTGAATCCATGCACATGTATGGAGCTTCCTAATGATCCACAGATGAACACAGCGCTCACGGCCTAACAGGGACTCCGTGACACAGACTGTGAGTTCCACAGCAGCACCGTGGACGTGATGACAGAGGCGCACACGCAGCAGCAGCCGGAGCACTCTGCAAAGGGCAGTTGCTGAGTTCTCTTATCGACAGAACCAGGCAAACGGAGCTTCGAACTCCACCCACACAGATCGAGTCCCCCTCAGCTCCTGGGATCTGGAGATCCGGGAGCCTCCAGCAGCAGGAGACCTGAAGGTGGCCCTCCTTTGGGAGACTGGGGTCTACCAGAGAAGTTGAGACCGAGGCTGGGACGCTAGGACTGGGTTGAGCTTGCCGGCTGACAGGGGAGCAAGGAAATGCCACACAATGGGGCACAGTGTATGGTGTGCTTCGAAATAGGAAGCATCAGTGTAGCAGAGCCGAGGGGAAGAGGCAGGGGTGGTGTGAGGGGGAGAGTGGAGGACGGAAAGCATTAGGCTGGTCCGGGCTGTGAAAGGTGCCCCTGCTGGTTCAGCAAACCAGCTACTATTCCCTGAGCATCCAAGGCGCTGCTGAGTGAGCTCGCCTTACTCTTTCAACCCACGCTCAAATGTCACCTGCTATGAGCCATAATTACGTGTTCCTCCAGGTCCATCGACTCTCAGTCGTACCTCGATGATAGTGCTTTCCACAGTGGAGGCTGCACACTGCCCCAGGGTGCCCAGCTACGCAACCTGTCTTGCTGGCTACAGCCTGCCCCAGAGTGGGTGCCTTCTTACCATTTTCCCCCCAAGAGTAGGTTGCCTTTTTCTAATCTGAACAAAGGCTTCAAATGTGCTTAGTTGTGTCCTTCTCTTCACTGGACTATAATTATTTATTAAACAACAACAACACACACACACATACACACACTGCTCCTTAGTGTCAGCAACCTTATGTTGCCCGTTTTTGCCTCTGTCCTTGGGGTCAAAAACAGGGCCCTCAAATGTTTGTTGGGGGAACAAGTGAATGCATGAACATGGTCACACAACATCTGGTGAGGACAACTGTTCTCTTGACAGCGTGTCTGTTTACTCCCAACCCCATCGGGCTGTGACTTGACAAGCACGTGTGTTTCTGTTTGTACCCCTCTCACGTGCTTTTTCAGGCTGAAATCACAGATGCTTTATCTCGTTTCTCTCAAACCGCATCTGGAACACATCTTCAATTTCTCCTGTGTTCTTTCTTCCTTTCTTTCACGTGTCATTCCTCAATCTAGTTTGATCCCAGGTGTCCTCTCTCAGTGTCATGCCTTCAACAAAGTGAAAAAAACCAATGTTTGGATCAGCATTCTCCGAGTCGCTTCCCTGTGCATATTTAGTCTGGAAAAGACATTGCATGGGTGGTACTATGGGTTGAATTGCATCCCCTCCCCCTAAGAATAGATATGTTGAAGTCCTAACCCCTACCAGCGCTGAATGTGACCTTTTTTGGAGATACAGTCTTTACAGAGGAAATCAAGTTAAAAGGGGGTCATTAGAGTAGGCCCCTCATCCAATATGACTGGTTCCCTCATTAAAAGGGGAAATTTGGCGCCAGATATCACCCAGGGAGAAGATCATGTGAAGATGAAGGCAGGGAGCTGGGTATGTGTCAACAAGCCAAGGAACACCGAATGGTGCCCAGGAATTCCCCGAAATCAGGGGGAGGCATGGAGCAGAATGTCCTCAGCCTCCGTAGGAACCGACCCCGCCGACACCTGGATCTTGGACTCGCAGGCTCCAGAACTGTGAGACATACATTTGTGCTGTTCAAGCCCCTCGGTTTGTGATCCTCAGTTACAGCAGCCAGATACAAAAGAGCGTCAGGAACAAGATGGAGAAATTAGCAATCCTTGCTCTTGACCTTGACACAGACACATTGACCTCACCAAGGTAGTCTGTAGTCTAGGATTAGAAAAGGCATCCACTTTTCTTTGGTTCTCCAACCGGCTGTGTAAGAGACCAAGTTTGATCTGCAAGGTCCCGTTTTCACGCAACTGGTCAAGGAACCATGGGGAATATCTGGTTTGGAAATGCACAGCGGTCCTTGGGTGGTCATCTCAATACCCACCCGCGACACGGTGCTACTGGGAAATGTGCTGGCGTCCACCCGGCGAGGAATCACTAGTGCAGACACAATGATCACCACAGTTACTTTTGTCTAATGTAAGAACTTTGTATTTTTAACTATGAAAAGTTTCTGTATTTTAAAAGTATTCCCAACAGTCAACTGTAATCAGATAGTTTACATCTAGAAAGAGAACAGATTGGTTCCATCTCAAGGATCTCGAAACAATCCCCATAAATCACTCATCAGCACTTCTGAGTGACTCAAGATATATAATTGCTCAAATAATCTTGCACAGAGTTTGAGTGGGTTTTAAATGCCTCCCACAATTTTGTCCGGCGTGTTCTAATTCTTCCCTTCTGAATTGGGATGTAAACAGCATACCCATGATCATTATGCAATTTTTTAAATCATCTGTTTCCATCTACTAACTTTTTTGTTATTTGAAAACTACACACAGGAGAGAGCTAGGATTTAAATTTAAATAGAAATCCTTCTGCAAATGTTTTCCGTGGACTCTTCCATGCAGCATTGTCAAATGTGGAAATTGTCATCTGTCTAAACATTAAGGATACTTTGTTAGCTTCTTGAACAAACAACCATCGATTCTCTTTTCAGGACATCTCTCGAGAAGAACTCCTCATACGCCTGCTGGAGTGTGACGTTACTATTTACAACATCACGGACAACCCGAAGCAAGTGGAGGAAGCCCTCTGGGCAGTCTCTGGTCAGTGCGGTGACCCTTTTATCTTCGGGGACACCCCTTCTGTGTACTTGACCTAAGAACACTCATCAAATTAGGACCATTAGGAGAAATGATGAGACTTACCCAAAACATGAAATGAAGTCAGGCTAATGGACATGCCTGTGAGTAGTGTTAAACGGAGCTATATTAAAACTTTTAAGAGTTTATTTGAGCAAAAATCTATTCAAATCAGGTAACACCAAATTAGAAGTGGTTAGGAGTACTCCATCAATAGGAGCTAGGGGAAAGGCTTTTACAGAGAAAAGCAGGAAGCAAAGCAAAGAAATGATTTGATTGGCTATAGCTTAAGTATTTGCCTTATTTGGAAGACCCGAATTGGCTGTGATTGGTTGTCCTTACATTTTGGGGGTTTTTTTATTGATTTTTTTTTTTTTTTTTTTTAGAGAGAGAGAAGATCAATTTGTTGTTCCACTTATTTATACATTTATTGGTTGATTTTTGTATGTGCCCTGACCGGGGATCAAGCTGCAACCTTGGCGTATCAGGACAATGCTCTAACCAACCGAGCTACCTGGCCAGGGCTTGACTTCTTCACCTTGAGGCATTCACTGGCTTAGGTTTTGGTTGCTGGTGTAGACTGCGAAGGTATCAGAACCACCTCAGTACAATGAGCCTCCTTGTTTAATCATTCTAACAAAATATTCTATTTCAAATGATAGAATATTCTTTTTTTTTATTAATTTATTTTTGTTACAATGTTGCTCCTTTTTTTCCCCATTGACACCCTCCTCCCCATCCCCTCCACCCCGTCCCCATCTTTGTTGTCCATGTCCATTGGTTGTGCATACATGCATATAAGTTCTGTGGTTTATCTCTTCCCTCCTCCCACTCCCTCTTCTGAGGGTTGTCAGTCTGTACCCTACTTCCACGTCTCTGGGTCTACCCTGTTCCTCAGACTGTTATGTTCATTATATTCCACAAATAAGTGAGATCATGTGATATTTGTCTTTCTCTGCTTGGCTTGTTTCACTTAGGGTAATACTCTCCAGGTCCCTCCGTGTCATCTCAAAAGATAAGAGATCTTTCTTTCTTACAGCTGCACAGTACTCCATTATGTACCTGTACCACAGCTTTTTTATCCATTCGTCTACTGATGGACACTTGGGCTGTTTCCAGATCTTAGCTATTATAAATAGTGCTACTATGAACATGGGGGTACATATATTCTTTCTGATTGGCGTTTCAGGCTTCTTAGGGTATATTCCTAGAAGTGCGATCACTGGGTCAAATAGCAATTCAATTTTTAATTTTTTGAGGTAACACTATAGTGTTTTCCACAGTGGCTGCACCAGTCTGCATTCCCACCAGCAGTGTACTAGAGTCCCCTTTTCTCCACACCCTCACCAACAAGGATAGAATATTCTTAATCATTAAAAGAAGTAGAACATTAACTTCCAACATTTGACCTTTCCTCATTCTGCAGGCACCGCTTAAGGAGGTGGTTGACTGTACTGGGCACACAGATACAAAGACAAATAAGTAAAAGATTCCACCATCCAGGCACTGAGAGGCCTTCAAGGAGCTTAGGTGCACACAAGAAACTCAGCACAGAACAGAGAATGGCATGTTCACAGGAAAGGTCACAGGGTGGAGGTGACTTTAAGAGGGGAGGAATTCTTTCTAACTGTGAGGATTCGATTCCATCCAACAAATGCTCCCTGATAGCAAGAGTCAGGGAGGGCTGTGGGGAACACCTGAAATGTTAAAATGCTTTAAAAAACCTGATGAACCCTAAGGACCTCAAGTCTAAGAGGACATGGCGATGTTTTGCAATTCGGTGATTTGTAATTTATCTCCTCATTAAGTCAGGAGCAAAGAAGAAAGCAGGTCAGCTTATTTGAATCATTGCTCTAGACTAGGGCAGCCAAAAAGACACAGAACACCTTACTTTGCAATACTTTTCTCACTGCATTTATCTTTGCTGTGGGGAGTTTAGATCAGAGGTCGGCAAACTTTCTCCGTGAAGGGCCAGATAGTAAATATTTTTGGCTTTTTGGGCCAACTACTCGGCCACTGTAGCCAGAACGCAGTCCAGATGACAGGTAAATGAATGATCTGGTTCCAATAAAAAGTCATTTTAAAAGCAGGCAATACTTTTGCCAACCCCTGAGTGATATCAACGGCAAAGCCATACTCGGGCTTAAATGAAAGAAATGGAAGCAAGGCTCAGGAACGACGGCACCTGTGCGGGGAAACCATGATGAAGTACTGTTCGTGGGTGTATGGGGTTCCCCGGGGGCTCGGAATGACTGATTCCCCGTTTATAATGTTGGGCCTAAATTTCATTCAATAAGATATAAGTCAAAACTGTGAACGTTGTGTTGTCTTTTGGAACAGAGCTTTCGTAAAAGCTCTGCTTTGTGCAGTTTGTCCCTTGGCAAGTGTTCACAGATGATGGATAGCTGTACTTTCTGAAATAACTCTTCTGCCTAAAATAATAATCGGAGATAATGTTTATTGAGTTTTATGTTGTGCCAGGCTTTGGAAACTGATTTTTCTATGTAATATATACTTGCAATTTTCTTTGAAAAAAATTTTTTTTTCTGAAATAAAACCTGGACACATTTTGAACATTAAAAAGCACAGTCCTGGCCTGGGAGCTCAGTTGGTAGAAGTGTTGCCTGATACTCCTGGGTTGCAGGTTCGATCCTGGGTCAGGGTACCTACAAGGATCAACCAGTGAGTATGTAAGTGGGTGGAACAAATCGATGTTTCTCTCTTTCCCTTTCTTCTTCTTCTTTTCAATGCTTTTAATTTAATTTAATTTAATTTTTAACTTTTGGCTAATCCTCACCTGAGGATCTTTTTCCATTGATTTTTGGACAGAGTGAAGGGAGAGAGATAGAGAGAGAAATATCGATGAGAGAGAAACACATAGACTGGCTGCCTCCCACTTGACCCCCACCAGGGCTGGGGATCGAACTTGTAATGCAGGTATGTGCCCTTGACCAGGAATCGAACCCGAGACCCTTCAGTCTGTGGGCTGATGCTCTAAGTACTGAGCATAACTGGCCAGGGCTTCCGCTCCCCCCGCCCCAAATCAATCAATACTTTTTTAAAAAGAAAAAAAAAGAAAATTTAAAAGCACAGTAGAATAAAAATCAACAATTCCCTGCATTTTCTTTCCATCCCATCCCTGCTCCCCCCAAAAAAACCTCATTTAACCCACTTGTTCCCTTTAACACATAAGAAATACCTGCACTGATGTCCTTTGGTTGTGATTTCAGACATTAGCACTGACTTCCTGCTTGGACAATGACTTTCAGCCCTTACAGGACTCCGCACCCAGTGCCCCTCGAGAGAATGCAGTTGGTTCTGGAACTCTGATAACTGCATTTCCTTTCATGAGCTTTAAAATGTGGAGTATGTTTACTGCCTGCTTCTTCTTTCTAGTGAAGAGCTTTAGCTGATTAAAATGTTACCTCTCTATTGGGCGGAAAGGTTTTAACTGCATTAGCCCATGTTTTGAGATACAGAGTGATTGAGTCTGCAAGAAAGTGTAGTCTGAGGCCCTTGGTCTGTCTTCAGGGTCACCTGGGGGGCGTGGGGTAGAGGGAGCTATGGAGAATGGGGCAGGGGCAAGGGTGGGGTGGGGGTGGGGGGGGAGTGAGGGCTTTGTCATTTGATCTGAAGCACATTCTTAGATGTGGGGGTTTTGTTTGGTCCCGGTTTTGCAATGGATATGTATTACTTCTTAATATGTTGTATTAAATTAGTTTAATGTTTGAATATAAAAGGACTCTCCTACCTTGCCTTCTAGGCGCTATCAAAGGAAGGTAAATGACATAGGAGAAAGGAAGAAAGTACTGGAAACGAGAGAAAACATTTGTGTATGTGGGTAAAACGTGCTCCTTCGCAAGTGAACAGGCAGATCCTTTTGACCCATTAAAATGATAAATAAAGAAGATAACCCAGTTAGAGGACCTCTAAGTGTGCCAGTGTTCACAAAGTAGGCCAGTCGGAAACAGCACCGGGCAGAGAGGGCAAGCAGCCGAGCTCGACGGAAGAGGCCCCCTTTGCTAAGAGAATAAAGATAGAGGCTAAAATTAACGTTGGAGGTGGGATTCGCGTGGGCATCGTGCTCTGAGACTCAGCGCAGGGACGCTTTCTCCTCTCGGTGGGAACCACGCGCTCATTAGATCCAGGACAGCGGCGTTTCATTGTCCTGCTTGGTGTTGAAGGGATTGGCTCATGAGACTCAAATATACCATGACCGCCGGTGTCACTTAGAGCCTCTGGCCAGTTACTCAGCCCTCACTTTAGATTTTTTTTTTCTGGAATTTTATATGTCACGAAAGATATTTTAGTGGCGATAAAAGGTCAGAGCCGGCGGGAGGTCATGCCCACAACATAAGGCCGATGTAGAGCAAAACGATTTTATTGCACATGCCTGGGGGCCGGCGGGCCGAGCCAAGAAGGGGTCAGCAGTTGGGGTGTAGGTGATATGCTCTACTTCTGGCTTCCGGCAGTTCCTGCTGATGACTCTGCCTGGCCCGTTGTCCACCTTGCAGTAGGGCCGGTCTGGCATCTCGTCCGGCATCTGCTGGCTGATCCATTGCCTTGGAGACAATCCAGATAGTCCTTACCCGCACTCAACAGAAGGCTGAGCAAAGGTCGTGCTAGCAACACAATTTCCACAGTTTCCGCCTTTTGCAAACGTTTACCTTCACCCTTGAAAACATCACTGACCCTTTCAGGAGTGTCGCGAGGAGGACTCCAGGAGAGCCAGCGCTCAGCTGTGTGGCGAGCCCTCCCGGAAAGTGACAAACCCTGTGGAAATCGCATGCGCACCCTTCCATCCACCACTGTCCTGAATTCCAGTGCCGCGTGTTGTTCCTAACCCAGCAGCCCCACCTTACCAAGGCCCCCACACAGGGCCCACAGCCCCCAGGGCCTGGGCCGCCCTCCCCCACCCAGGAGAGTGAGAGGGGGGCACCCCCCAAATTACTTCCCTCCGCAAGGGCTCAGGCTACATGGGCCTGCTTTATGTGAGTTCCCAAGAGGGTCTTACCTTGTGCTTTGGGGTGCCCCGGGCCCCCATCCCCAACCTTGCTGGCCGCCTGCCCCGCTCCCATGCAGCTGGCCCTACAGCATGGTGGGGACAGCACAGGGCTTGCCACCAGGCTGCCCGGACTAGGCCCTCTGCCCCAACACTTCCTTCCGTGATTCTGGGCAAACTGTACCTCTGTTCCCCTGCTGGTAAACAGAGATCGGAGTGGTACCTGTCTCATGATGGTGGGAGTTCAGTCAAGCCCATGAACAGGGCCCATCCATGTGCCCCCATGATCGTGACCACCGCGGCCCTCAGGACAGGTGAAGGCACACACAGCTGCAGGCCGGAAGCAGGGAGGGAGCTCAGGGAGGCCAGGCGGCTGCAGGAGGGCGGACAGAGTGATGGGGGTGACTCGAAGCATCGGAGGGGCACCACCGTGCCATGGAGCTGCTCCCGGGCAAAGGAGGAACTTCGAGCCCCCCGGCAGGGCACATGGTTTCGACAGCGCGTTCCGCGTGGATCCGAGTAACCACTTGCTTTCTGGCCCACAGCACTGAACGAGGAAGTCAACCATTTCGAGAAGCGCAAGGTGTTTATTTTAGTGTCCACGGTGATGACCTGGGCGAGATCCAAACCCCTGGACCCTGTAAGTAGTGCCCCTGGCTTGTCCTTGGGGCAACATTTCACCCTCAATACCTTGTAATCTGTGTGCGGAGAGAACCTTCTACAGTGACTCCTGCGTTTACTCTTACACCCCTGAGCCCCGTCTCGTAAGAAGCACTCAACCGGGTTCACTGACCCTGAGCTGGTCCTAAGGGCCCCATTGCTTCGCACGCTGCCTGTGACACTCTAACAGTGCTTGCTCATCACATACTTTTTATTTTAAATGTCTTGAAAGAGCTTTCTGTTAGCCTTATCCAGCCCTATATGTTTGGTCATCTATATTCTCGTGCATACATTAAAAGGAAAGTAGAAGCAAAATACTGAGGGTATGGTATCCCCCAAACGTCTTCCTACCCAGAATTCAACTTCTCTGAGTCACACCTGCATTCTGTCTCCACACAACTTGGTATCCAACCTGAGTCAGGCCTGTAGCTTTGGGTCCTTCCCTTTCCTGGATGTTACTCTGCAAGAAGATGGGGGATCGCGTCATCCTTCTAGCCGTTGGTTTTCTTCACCAGCGTCAGACTTTCCTCTGCCACCCTGCTCCTGTGTGCCCAGCAACTGCCTCTGACTTCGGTGCTGAGTCACAGCCCAGCTTTTCATAGACGTTTTATCCTCACCAAAGGACATGTTTCCATTTTTTGCTCAGATAGAGTGGGAGGGAGAGAGAGGAAGAGAGAAAGAGAGAGAAACATCGACGTGAAAGGGACACATCGAGTGGCTGCCACCTGCATGACCCAACCAGGGCCGGGGACAAACCAACCGAGGTACATGCCCTTAATGGGAACCGAACCCAGATCTCTCCGGACCACAGGCCAACACTCTTAACTGCTGAGCCAAACCGGCCAGGGCTTTCAGCGATGTTTTAAAAAGCAACTAGAGCCCTGGCCAGTTTTGCTCAGCGGTTAGAGCATCGGCCTGCGGAACAGAGAGACCTGGGTTCAGTTCCCACTAAGAGCATGTACCTCAGTTGTAGTTTATCCCCGGCCCCGGTTGGGGTTGTACTTGGGGTTGTACGGGTGGCATCCACTCGATGTGTCCCTTTCACATCGATGTTTCTCTCTCTCTCTCTCCCCCCCCCCTCCCTCCTGTTCTATCTGAAGATAAATGCAAAAATATCCTCTGGTGAGGATAAATAAAATAAAAGGCCACTAGAGCGTGATGTGTAGGACCGAACTGAATCGACTGAATTGGAAGGGATGACGATCTGAATGGTCATTCTCAAGGTCACCCCGGCACCAGCCGGGACAGCGTCCATGCTTCCTCGCTGGCTGCAATTGTAATAAGCCACTGATGTTGAGACGTTTAATTGCAGAGATGTTAAAACGGCGTCAGAATCAAGGGGATACGTGACTTACAACAAGGAAACACTTAGGGCTTTATCACACTTCTCAAACGACGGTTGTTGGCTTGTCTCTCCCTCGGTAGACCAAGCAGTCCTTGCGGGCAGGGACCGGCTTTGGCGTTCTTCTCATACGAAGTTCACTCGCCTCGTTGCCGTCGCCTCCAGGAGCGGGCCCTTGTATTCCTCTTACGGTTTCTTCCCTCAGAGTAGCTAGTAAGGTGTCTGCTACACACCAGTTATTTACTGCATTAGTACATCCCGTGTAATATTTAAGATTTACTTACACCCAAAACATGTTTGTTGATCTGAAATTCAAATTTAGCTGGGCCTCCTATGTTTTATCTGGCAATCCTACACGTGACCCTCTGGGCATATTGAAGAGGGGTAACTACTCGAGTAGCATGGATTCATCGAGTGTGCACTATGGATCCAAAATCGAGGTGGATTAACTTGATCTTCCCCCCAAAGTGAGTTCGTTCCCAGACTTTGTCCCAGCGGCATCACCATCATTTCAGTGGCTCACCTCACTCACTCCCTTTCATCCACCAGTGAATTCTGTTAGTTCATCGTCCAAAATGTGTATCATAAATCCGTCTTGTTCTCTTTGTATCAATGGGCGACTCACACGGCCCTGTAACCGGTGCCTGCCGTTACCTCCTCCCAATCAGTTTCCAAGGAGCAGCTTAAGTGGCCTCGTTCAGAATTCAAACCAGGTTACCGTCCTGCTGAAAACCCTCTAATGCCTTCTAACACCCTTAGAATAAATCTCCAGCCTTCGTTCCCCACGGTCCACAGACCTGATAACCCGCCATCGCCTGCCTCATCTCGCCCATTCCCCGCTTGGCTCCGGTCACTTGGGGACTTCTTTCCACTGTTCAAACCTGCCAACAATTGTGCTGCCTCGGGGCCTGTTTCTTCGGCCTCTCTGATTAATTTTGTGTCTCCCTGGCCAGTTTGGCTCAGCGGTTGGAGCATCAGCCCACAGACCAAAGAGTCGCGGGTTCAATTCCAGTCAAGGGCATGAACCTCAGTTGCAGCTCAGTCTCTGGCCCTGGTCGGAGTTGTGCAGGACACAACAAGTCAATGTCTGTCTGTCTGTCTGTCTGTCTGTCTGTCTCTCTCTCTCCATCTGAAGATAAATGGAAAAATATCCTCGGGTGAGGATTTTTTTTTTTTTGGTACATGCCCCTAGCAGGAACTGAACCCGGGACTCTCTGGTCCGCAGGCCAACGCTTCAACTGCTGAGCCAAACTGGCCAGGGCCTCGGGTGAGGATTTAAAAAAATTTTGGATAAGCCTTGTACACCAGCACGCTGGGCTGGTTATTTCACTTAGACCCACGTAATGTGATTGAAAGCCTTCTCATTGAACACTACTTTTAAACTCCTACTCCAGACAGCACCTCAAAATCTGAGTGGATTTGGGGAAGTCACTCTGTACCACAGAACTCATGTCTCCCTGCAATTCTCCAGTAGGTTTTAATTTAGTGGTTTCAGAGGCATCGCTGGAGGGCGAGTCGTGGAGAGACTGAGTGTGAACTGTTGGGAAATACTTTTCATTCCTGTTCTCAGGGCAAACTCATATTTCATCTTACTGATGAAACCAGTTTTTAAAGCCTGAAACAAACTAAAAAGCTTGCATGTGGTATGTTCTTCTCACATGGGGTCAATCTGAGGGAATGGAGTGGTGTAAAAAAAAAAAATCACAATTTTTTCTTTCATAGGATGATTCTGATGTTCCATTTACTGAAGAAGACTATCGAAGAAGAAAGCACCATCCTAATTTCCTGGACCACATAAATGCTGAAAAAATGGTTCTCAAATTTGGCAAAAATGTAAGTCTGGAGTGGCAGAGCATTTTGGGTAAGAAAAGTTCTTTTTTTGAAGAAGCTTGCCATGGGCATGGCCAGGACTGTTCCGCATGCTTTATGCCCATCATCTCAATTCCTTAAACATCCTCGTGTTGGTTTCCCTGTCCTTACACCCACAGATTTCTGAGCTTCAGGCTCACCCCAAGATGCACTGTCCTGACCCAGGTTCCAGTCCAGCCCACTAAATTGAAAGCCTGGTATCGGGTTCCTAGCAGAACTCAAGCTTCTACCTACCAGGGAGACCGTGGGTCAAAAGAGTTGCTCAGCCCAGAAGAGGCAAATAACTCAAAGTTGGAATGGGGTGGGGGGCACATTTTCCCTTTTCCCAGAATCGATCTCATTTGTTTCTGACAATTTTAAAAAGTACATATTAACCTCATCTTACAAATACGAAGACAGAGGTTTCCAGAGTAAGTAACTTGCTCAAGGTTACATAGGTAGAACTTACTGAGCACCATTCTGAGCACTTCCTGGCCTTGTCTGATCTGCCCCTTACAACAGTACTGTAGATGTACATGATTATCCCCATTTCACAGATGTGGACACTGAGGGTAAGCAGAGTCAAGTGGTGGAGCTGTGATTCAAATCTAGATCCACCAGCCTGGGGATTTTGTTTTGTTTCTGACTCCAAAGCTCCATCATTCAATAAAGTTGATCTTGACCTAGCCAGGTCACTGATCATCAGGGGCATACCCAGAGCTGAGAAGTTCATGTAAACAATAACGGTAGTTTATCAGCCTTCTGTTGCAGCATAATCTATCATCTATATAATGAAATTATTTTATTTCTCTTACATTTTACCAAAATAAATGCCAGGAATGTCCTGGTGATGAATAAGTACGAACAGCTAAAATTAAGGCCTTGTAAATGTTTGCCAGGCACGATGCTAAATGTTTTACTTATGATACCCCATGTAATCCTCTTGTATCTCATCTATAATTCTCAAAATCCTGTGAACTAAGTGCTATTATCATCATCCTCATTGTGCTTATGAAGAACTTATACAGAATCCCCTAAACCTTTAAATGTTCCATACACTACATTTTCCCCGTTAGCTGAAGACCTGCCAAAGTGGTATGTAATAACAGTTCTAAGAGGACACCTAGTGGTCGCAGAGGATATTACATTAGAAACTTTGTCCCCAAGATCAACTTCTGTCCTAGTTTTTTTTCCTTCACTTTGACAATATAAACACCGTGGCTATAAAATATTTGAAGGAAACCACGTGGGATTAGAATTTATAGTCACTTTCCTACCCATTAACTTATAACCTTAGCCAACTTTTGGGGTTAAAATAAATAAATAAAATAAAGGGGCGAGACCAGACAGTCAAAATTTCTTCCGTTTCCAAATCCTGTAACTGTATTATTTTATTAAACATTGGACATTTCCCCCAAGTAGAAAATCCATGATTTCTTGATCATTTATGTAATTAACTAATTGAGAACACATGATCACATACAAAAATAATTGATGTGAATGATAGTCTAAAATGGAGAAAGAGTACCATGTTAATATCTTTTTTTTAAATGTTTTTATTGATTTCAGAGAGAGGAAAGGATAAGGGGATAGAAACATCAATGTGAGAGAAACCTCGATCGGCTGCCTCCTGCACGCCCCCTGCTGGGGATTGAGCCTGAAACCCAGGCATGTGCCCTGACCGGGAATCTAACCAGGAACTTCCGGTATATGGGATGCCGCCCAACCAACTGAGCCACACCAGCTGGGCAATACCTTTTTTGTTATAAAAACATTACATTTGTTCCATGCTCTAAATAAAAGAATCAAAATTTTATTTTTAAAATTTATTCTTTTTATCCCCAGCTTTCTTAATCACTCTTGTTTGAACAATTAATAAGATAAGTGAGGTTGATCTGGCCAACTTAGTCATCTCAATGACCCTGTTTCCCATCAGAGAGATGGAACCTTGGAATTAATCATTTAACCCATCACTTGAACAGAGTGCTCTTTGGATCCTGCTATGGCCCAGGCTGACCTCCCAGGCATGAACAATGCAGGTGTGGTCTGTGCACTCCTGGGTCTGGTTGCCCAGCGTTCACATGCGGTCACTGCATTTGCTACAATCACATTTGCATTACAAACACAAGAAGGGGACTTAGTATATTGAGGCAAAGAGAAGCCCTAATAATTGTACAAGCTGCCTAAATAGTTCTGATTTGCCCAACACCAAACGTATCTTTAACTGGGCACTTCCATCTTTAGACGAGTCACGCTGATTATTTGGAATATTTTAAAAACACACTTTAGCGGTATTTTGAGTTAACCAGAGTTGCCCATCTGTTTTGTGAAAGTCACTTAAGTCATTTAGTGGTCCCTGAGCACCTAGAGTCTGTGGTCCCTGGAAAAAAATCTGCCTAATCAAAATGTATGAAATCTGTTGTAATAGATCATTGTCCCACTGTCTTTTGATGCTTGTATTCTCTGACCAATCCAAGTTGCTCATGATGATTTTTTAAAATGTTTATTTATTTATTTATTTATTTATTTATTTTTATCCTCACTTGAGGACTTTTTTTTGGCTTTTATCTTTAGATAGAGCGGGAGAAAGAGAGAGAGAGGGAAAGAGAGAGAGAAATATCAATGTGAGAGAGACACATCGAATGGTTGCCACCCGCATGACCCCAACTGGGGCCAGGGACAAACTGCAACGGAGGTACGTGCCCCTAGTGGGAACTGAACCCAGATCTCTCTGGTCCACAGGCCAATACTCTAACCACTAAGCAAAATCGGCCAGGGCTCATGATGATTTTTTAATATAGAATGTTTCTGGATTTGCTTTAGTAAGGTCATATTTGAGACTTTTGCACTGCTATTCATGTTTAGAAGTAAGACTGGCCTATAATCTTCATTTGTCATACTGTCTCTTTCTGGTTCTAACATACAATTGATTGGGAACAAAATTTTCTATTCTCTGCAGTTTGTATGAAATTGGGCTTATCCCTTGAATATTTTGTGGAATTTTCCTGTAAAACTATTTTGGACGGTATGAAGGCAGTGGCAGGGTTTGGGGGCAAGTAATTGGCCTGTTAGGCTAAGTTTTCAAATTAACTGGCGTAAAGTTCACCAGAATTCTCTCTTATGATTGCTTTAAATCTCTGTTGGTAGTTAGCTCCCCCTTTTCAGGACTAATACTGGTGGGCGGGCATTATTGCTTTTCCTCTCCTCTGATTTCCCTAAGGAAAATTCTAGGTCTTCTGCCTAAATAAATACTCCTGAGCTTTTGCACGCGCGCGAGCGTGCGCGCACACACACACACACACACACACACACCTGCCCCGGGGCCTCCTGAAGCTCAAGGGAGTTACACCGTTGGCGGGTTGGGGGGACGTGCCCTGTTCCTTAGAATCCGGAATCCAGGTCAGGGCACATGCCAGGTTGTGGGCTAGATCCCCAACCCCCTGCAGGAGGCAGCCCATCTCTGTTTCACTCTCACATGGATGTTTCTCTCTTTCTTCCTCTTCCTCCCTCTAAAAATCAACACACTTAAAAAATTCTCACTTACTTTATAACTCCAAAAGGAAAATGGGTGTCTGTTTCAACCCACAAACTCCAGTAATGCTGTTTACTTGTGACTTACCCCTTTTGTCTTGATCAATCTTAATCAATTTTCCTATGTCGTTATCAAAAGCAGCTTTTGCTGTCTTAGGTCTAATTCATTCGTTTCTATGTCTCTATTATTACCCCTTCCTTTTATTTACTTATTTATTTAAATTTTCTTATCCTCATCCGAGGACATTCTTGCATTTATCTTCAGATAAGAGTGGGAGGGAGAGAAAGAGGGAGGAAGAGAGAGAGAGAGAGAGAGACATCGATGTGAGAGAGACACATCGACTGGTTGCCACCCACACAACCCCAACCGGGGCCAGGGACAAACTGCAACCGAAGTACGCGCCCTTAGCGGGAACCAAACCCAGGACTCTTTGGTCCGCCGGCCAGTGTTCTCACCGCTGAACCAAACCAGCCAGAGCTTACTCCTCCCTTTTTTTTTTGGTACGTGCCCCTAGTGGGAACAGAACCTGGGACTCTCTGGTCCACAGGCCAACGTTCCAACCACTGAGCCAAACCGGCCAGGGCTTACTCCTCCCTTTTAATTTGGGTTTATGCCATTTTGAGTTGGCTGCTTTTCTAATATAAGCACTTAATGCCATACATTTACCACCAAATATGGTTTTAGCTGCATTCCACAGTTTAGAAATGCCCTGAATAGTATTTTTATTATCATTGGTTTCTAAAAATATTCTAACATCTTTCATAATTTCCTTTCTGACCAGTGAGTTATTAAGAAGTGTTTTGTAAGTTTCCAAAAATATAGAGAAGCATTAACTTTTGTTTTTTTCTAATTTAATTGCTTTATGGTCAGAGAATATGGTCTGTGTGGTGTTGATTCTGTAGCAATGGTAAGATACCTTGCTACATAGTACATGGTCAGGGTTTTCTCTCTCTCTTTTTTTTATCCTCACCTGAGGTCACTTTTCCCTTTGTTCAGATAGAGTAGGAGGGAGAGAGAGGACGAGAGGAGAGAGAAACATCGATGTGAAAGGGACACATCGAGTGGTTGCCACCCGCACGACCCAACCAGGGCCGGGGACAAACTGCAACCGGGGTACATGCCCTTAGCGGGAACCGAACCCAGGTCCCTCTGGACCACAGGCCGACGCTCCAACTCCTGAGCCAAACCGGCCAGGGCTGGGTTTTTTCTCTTTTAAAAATTTTTTTTCTTTATTGATTTTAGAGAGAGAGGAAGGGGAAGGGAGAGAGAGATAGAAACATCAATGAGAGAGAACATTGATTGGCTGCCTCCTGCATGCCCCCCACTGGGGATTTGGCCCCACAACCTGGGCACGTGCCCTGACCAGGAATCGAACTGATGACCTCCTGGTGCATGGGTCGATGTTCAACCACTGAGCCACACCGGCTGGGCAAGTTCAGGGTTTTTTAAACAT